GGAAAGGAAAGGAAAGGAAAGGAAAGGAAAGGAAAGGAAAGGAAAGGAAAGGAAAGGAAAGGAAAGGAAAGGAAAGGAAGCGTCTAGGTCTCGGCCTCCTTTCACTGATGACTGAAGCAACAAACACAGCGGAACGGAGTGGCAGGTGGGCATGAAAGCAAACAATGGCTATCCAAACGGGCTGCTCTCCTCCGAGGACAGAGCCACATAGGCAAACAGCCCACAAATGGAATGCAAACACAGCCACCCAGCAGTGAGAACCTTGAACTCTGTGGGAAGAGAAGAGCTAGAATGACCCTCTAGGAAAGGAAAAAATCCCTAGTCCCTGCTGCTCATGGGGGAATGCCACCAGCACCCACAGAAGTAAGTGTCTCAGGGCAGTTTCCCCAACTATTAGATTAACGGCATTAATTTGTGTGACACAAAGGCTCACTGCCTGCAGGAACACCCACCTCCCCACAAACCATGTGGACACAGAGCATGGATGACCTTCTGTCCTGGTGCCCGGGAGGCTGGATCTCTGAAGATGTGAGGTCTTGCTTAGTCTTCTTACTGAGTGGTGTGTGGTGGCCAATCAAAGTGGGCCAGGAAAATCTTAAGAGGATATTGTAAAACTTTGGCTCACTGAATCACGAATCTCTGCTGTATTTGTGTGTTTGTTGCTTTCTTTTTCTCCTAAATGACATCGCTTGGCGCCTTAGCAGAAACTGGACAGAGGCTATGCCTGGATCCTCAGCCACACTGGTAATGTTTTGCCATTTTCAACAGGTCCTGGATTTTACCTCTTCCCAACTTTCTCTTCAAACATCCCTGACCCAGGTCGGGTTCAGTTAGGGCAGCAGAGGGGGAGGCACCAAGTGGACAACAGTCTGCGGGGACACCAGGAGATCAGGAGACCTCCCCAGAGAAAAATCTGGATCATTTCAGGTCCCTTCTAGGTTCCTCCTCTCCCTGAAGCCTCTGTTTTGATCACCCCCAAAAACAAATGAACCAGAGAAGGCTGCAAAGCCAAGACCATGGCCACCACGGAAGCACAAAAGCACGGCTCTCTTAAGCATTAATTCTTACCTGCCTTTTCCCCAGTTCAGCTGCCAAAGGAGCTGGGGAGATTCCCTCCCTGCCTTAGAAAGGGCAGTCCTATGCCAGCCTCCTCAAGCGGGACCTCACAAGACAGCCACCCTCCCTCAGAGCCCCTCACAAGATGGAGCCCTCAGCCGGAGCACCAGCGACTGACACCTGCCTTGGGTTACCGAGTGGCCCTCTGAGTTAGCAGTCCCTGACAAACCACTGTGTCTGGAGCATCCCACAGAAAACCTTCCAGGATCCCTCAGTTACTTGTCTACAAAGCGAAAGTCAGTAAATGTCTTCCATGCTCGTAATTCTTGTCTCAGGAACTCCACTAAACACGGGGCTGCACAGCCTATGTCTGTAAGGACCTTCAGAGCTGCCTTCCCCTCCTTGACTGGTTCCTCAGTTTCACCATCTTGGGCCAGTGACTCAGACATTCACAAGAACCTGGCAGTCTGTGGAGGTGAGGGTACTGTTGAACTTGCCCTTGAGGTTTTATGAGGGTAGCAAATCTTTTCTTACTCAACTCTAGGAAGTACCTCTATGTTCCGAGAATGAGCAAGCTGGCAGAAAGTTTGTGAAGCAGGCAAGACAGACAAGACAAGTGGAAAGAGGACAAAACCTCGCCAGTCCCCACCCTTAGCAACAGCAGAGCCCAGCCAGTGTCCCCGCACCTCTCACAGGAAGAAGAGAGGCTAACAGCACCTAAACCGTGTCCACCGCACTGTCTATGATTTTACTTTCATTTTGCCACACCATCACCAGAAGGCTAGGAGGAATGGGGTCCTTCCTTTTCACAGACAGGGAAACCGAGATCTAAAGTTAGGACACTGCCAAGGTCATAGGGGCATTGCGTTAGAATTCCACCCAGGCCGTGGCATTTTCTTCCACCAGTAAAAGGAACTAGAAACAAAGACAGGAGGGACAGGAGTTGGGTTCCCATTCTGTGACCAGGACAGGCAGCGCCTGCCTGCAGAGCAGCTGGCTGGGGAGGGAAGGGCTGTGGGACAGTCCCTGGTGTCTTGCAGGGGTTCAATATCAAAGCTCCACACACCCCCCACTCCAAGTACCCCTGCTCTTAAGGTTGATTAGGTAGCTCGTTTTATTTTCTAGTGCACCCTTTGTCCTTCATGACATTCTAACTGCTAGAAGCCTTTCAAACTCCGAAATCCGTTATTTACTTATATTGAAAAGTCAGGCTCTGAACCTCGAGAGACCAGTTCTTCATCTGTGGGGGGAGAAAAGGCTGGAACGGAGGGTCAGTAATCAGAAGTTACCACCCCACGAGGTGCAAGAGGGACATGGGTGTGGGCTACCCCATGAGAGAGTTTTCTTCCAAAGCTCAGGGAAGGAACGCATGGGTACACCGTAGTAGCCAGGGACAGCGTCTCTCTCTCCAGGGCCACCTCTCACAGTTCCACCCGCTGGGGTCCATGGAGTCACGGCCGGGACGGATTATCCCCGGAGCACCCACGCCCCCTGCCCCACGCTAGTGGTTCTCACTCACCCGCGTTCACGTCTCTGGGGACCCGGCCAGACCGTCCCCGCCGGGTCGTGATGCCGGGCCCGGGGGCCGTGTGTCCGGGGCCAAGCGGCGAAGGCGGCCCCACGGCCGGGAGGAGCGCGCGGTTGGCCGGGG